CTGCGTGTTTCAGCGCGACGTCCACGTGCCTTCTGTGAGACTGAACTTGCTCGCGGATTTGCCGCGGCAAGTTCACCATGGCGCCAGTGTACGGCTGCCACTCCCAACATGACCGCTTATTGCGGTCATCAAAAATCCACCAGCGGCGACATCTTAGTATCAGCTCGCCGTGGTGCTTTCCACTACGGAACTACCCAACCCCTCACCCATTCCCGAACTTACTATAAGAAATGCACAATACAACGTACGGAACTACTCCCCCCCACCCTTCCCCAACCTATCTACAATGAATTTTAACTGCAACGGTAGTGCCTAGGCGGGGGGGCGCCTACTACTACTACTACTACTACTTCTACTGCTACTACTCCTACTACTACTACCACCACCACCACTCCAACTCCTACTCCTTTATGCTACCACTATCTACCACTGTTTTCATAGCTCCTTCTTTGCCAAAAAAATTGGCATAGCTCTCAGAAGCATTGCAGGAACTGTCATTGAACATATGGTTCTTTTTGTTGTTGATGCTGAGGTTGTGCCACCACCTGTTTGGATTGCGCTGCTTCCATCTGCGCAGCATCACATCACGGCGGAGCGGCGCGTATGCATCCGCAAGGTGCGTATGCGTCAAAATGAGGGTCCCTGTGGTTGGCTCTACAGCTTCTGCAGAGATGGTCTACCGGCCCCACCACCTCGCCAAAATAACAAGTTACATGAAACATAGTGCCTGGGGGTCCCCTACTACTGCTACTAGCTTCCTCCTACTACTAGTACTGCTACTGCTACTACCACTACTACTACTCCTACTACTACTGCTGCTACTACTACTTCTGGCACCAACCACTCTCTGCCACTACTGGAGCTTCATCATTGCCGTTGCAACCACTGCCGCCGACGCCGTCGCCGCCACGGCCACTCTCATGCCAGGACCAGCACCAGCACCGCCAACGCCAGCACCACTCACCGCTACTGCCACCGCCGCCACTGCAGCTGCCACCACCTCACGCACGCCCACCGCTCCGAGACTTACTCACACCTACCTTGACTCCGACAAGATGTCAACAACGGTGACCACAACAACTACTACCGCGCCGACACCGACGACGACTATGATGACACTCACCACGTTGACCGTGACAACTATTCAAGCTGCTACCACCACTGCCACAAGGACAGCAAGCACCGTCGCGACGCCAACAGCTGCCACCTTCGCCACTCCGCCGTCGGCACGGTCATTCCCGCGGGCAGCGACGCCGCCACCGCAACCGCCACCGCAGCCGCCGTCGCCGCCACCTGCTGCGCCACTGACGCCAGCACCACAGGCAGCCAGCGTCACCACCACTACCACTACGGCCGTTACTCTTGTAGCCACTGCGGCGGCCGCCGCCGCCGCCGCAATCAGAACAACTTTGATTCATGCGTGCGCTTACGCAGGCAGTGAGAATCATTGGCTTGCCGCTGCCCTTCTTGACTGCCGCTGGTGAAATCGAGCTACGTATCTCGTGCTGCCAGTAGCCATTTTGTGTTCTTCAAATTCTTTAGTCAGGGTAAGATGCTCTTGCTTTGGTTTTACCTGTAGCAGGCTCGCGGTGGCAGACTCCGGAACCAAACAGCCAGTGGAAGGCATATCTGCCCACGCTGAGATTGCAACATCTAGAGGTCAGGCTTGAGGAGGATGGATGCGTCGAAATCCAAAACTGTATCCTCTGCGGCCCTGGGGTCAGGGCCGCAAGCCCCACAGGCATCAGTGATGCTGTCCTGCGCGTTTCGAAGGGAACTTGCCTTGTGGCAGATTGCCAAATTCGCATCAAGAAGGGCCACGCAGGATTTGGAGTGGTCACTGGGCCTGATGTCACGTCCTTCATGTCTGGCGTTGCGAGACCTCACTGCATGCTGAAGCGGGCAGAGATCACACATGCAGCTGCGTCAGCACTGCATAGCAGAGTCAGTGTTTTTTTTTTTCATTGCATTTTTTAGTTTTTCTGATTTCTTTCGCTCCTGTGGTGAGCAGTTCTACGAGGCGACCACCGCATGCCTGTGTTTCATGGGCGGCCAGCTCACACTGGAGGAGGGCTGCTCACTTCGGGATTGCGAGGTTGGAGTCAGTGTTTGTGACCAGGCCGGACTGCATGCTACCCTTGAGATTATGATATTGGGGCTGTATAGGGAGAATGGAAAAGAAAATGGAAACTGCTATCATGGGCTTGGTTTAGGGTTATAATATTGGGGATCTACTGTGATAATGGAAAAGAAGATAGAAACGATTATATTATAATAGAGTATGTACTGGGGTTATACTGAGATAATGGAAAAGAAGCTGGTAACTACTATAGCATAGTAGGGTAGATGTTGGGGTTATATGGGGATAGTGGAACTGAAAATGAAAACTACTATAGTAGATTTGGTTATATATTGGTTCGGATTATATGTGGATAATGGAAAAGAGAATGGAAAGTACTATAATGTATTGGGTTTATTTATATATATACACATATATATATATATATGTTGGTGTTACTTTGGGATAATGGTTCAGAAAATGGAAGCAACTTTAGTATATTGAGGTTGCAAGGCCATAAAGGAAAGAAAATAGAAAAGAACATGGAAATGATTATAACGGGTTATATGGGGTATATACTTTTGCTCTCAGCTCGATCAGAGTTTGGAGCCCGGTCAACTGAAGTGTTACAATGCTTTTCTCACGTAGAAGTGATGACACCCGCCACAAATGGCTACTTTCAAGTCACACGCTACAGTACTCACATAGTCGCTGACCTCAGACATGCACGACCATGGCCGCATGCGAGAGGGCTCCATCGCATTCATTGCGGGGACTTTGCGGATGGCATGCAGAGACGGCGGGCGCAAGTTCGAGCAGGTACTGGTTTCAAGCTTGTATGTTTGCCCCATGTCTTGCCTGCGTTTTGTGGTGCAGTAGTTGCATGGTGCCAGACTTGATGACAGGTTTCTGGTGGCATTGTGACAAGGCCAACAGGTCCTTCCCACGTCTAGCGCAGCGCTGGCAATCCTGCAAGTTAATCAAACTAATGCCCAGGGTTCTTCGGCAATGCTGCCAGCTACACTTACTGGCTGCTAGTAAGGAATGGAGAAATGGATCATAATTATAATGGATCTCACTAATGCAGAAGTAATGTAGCGTCCCCATATTCTTTTCCATTCCTGTTTTCCCTACTAGCATAGTCCCCTTAAGTAGATAGAATATGGCTTTGGGTATGTTATAATGACCTCCCTATATACCCCATATTCTATCTACTCAAAGGGGGACTGTAACCCGTAACTCAAAAGTCCTGCAGCTTGCCGACCCAGAAGCAGTGCAAGCAATCAGCTGTACCGGCCCAACCCGCAGAGGTCTGCAAGTAGAAAATTCCTTGATCATGTTAAATCCTGAAGATTTAGGGTTTAGGACTTCAGGGTTATAGGGTTCAGGGTTTAAGGTTTGGGGCTTAGGGTTCAGGGTTTAGGGTTTCAAGGTTGAGGTATTGGGTGTGACCTAAACTCTAAGCATGAAACCCAAAACCCTACATCCCGATATAACTAAGACTAGCCCGTGATCCTCCTACACTGAGTTGCTGTTAAGGAACTGAAAGTAAGTTACTACATCGGGGAAACGTTTTTTTTTTAATTCTATACACCCATTATGGTAACTAAAATTAAGTCTAACAGCAACCCAGTAGAATGAAGCCGTGTCCTAGCTCTCCTTGGCCGGGGTTGCAGTTCGGATGGCAGCCTGCCATCGTCATTGTGCAGAAGCGACTATTTCCAAAAATAGGGGTCCCCTGTACCTGTAGTCTCCTTAGGAATTATTTTAAGTTTTTTGTTAGCGTATAGCCTTAACCCTGAGTACTGCCCCGTATCAGGATGAACAAGTTGACCCCCAATTTTTGTCCAACTTATTCAGAAGCTGGCTGTCCAAAGTGTACATCGTCCCAGCTCCCGAAGCTGCACGGATTTATGCACAGTCAACCGCGAGGTTTCTCAAAATTGAGGGTCCCGTTTGTCATTACATTTCATTGTTGTTGTTGTGGTTGCTGTTGTTGTCGTCATGATGTAGAGGGCCTCCTGGCAAATACTTTGGGCCCCATGTTTGGGCAGTCCCCTTAATTTTGAGAACCTCCCATCCGGACCTGACGCCCGAGCGCCAGGCCCCAAAGACTCCATGACTAGCCGCGTACTGGGCCAAAATAAAAAGCTTCGGATGCCATAGTCCCCCTTAAGTAGATAGAATATGGTATGGGTATATTACACTAAGATCCCCATATACCCCATATTCTATCTACTCAAGGGGGACCATATGCTTTGAGTCCACCTCCCAAGAATTTCCAAGCCGCGGATCATGTGCTTGATGCTAGAAATCATGCCTGGCCTAGGGTTTTAGGGTTTAGGGGTGTAGGGTTTAGAGCCTAGGGGCTATACAGAGGTTATATAGGGTACAGGCTTTCCAGACCTGTATTTCATGTTGTCTTAGCAGTTTGCAGTTTCTGTGGTGAGGCCTGTGTATATTACTCGTACGATAAATTACCTGTTTAGCAGGGTTGCCGAGGACAGCCTTGTATCCTGAACTACCACAGTTCCCAGTGTGTGCTGGTTGAGTACTGCCCTCACTCTGTAACAGTTGGATTATATTTGTAAAATTGTAAAATAGGTATATGGGAGTTCCCCAAATTTAGGGGGTATCTTGCTGGTGGTCCCTATAATAAGGAGTAGAGTATTCTGGGGTCTATATTGGGGTTCGCTTATTTAGGGAAGGTACGGGAAAGTACCATGTATAACCCTTAACATGACCCTGATATAGACTGTTACAAGGTGGGGGCAGTTACCATGAAGGCCTCGGACCATTTTCTATTGTCAACTGCTTCCCGACTCCCATTTCCTTGTGCATTTGGGTCTCCCTTCTTGGCACTATATATAGTCCCTTTAAGTAGATAAAATATGGAATTAAGCAATATCATAGCAAGATCCATAATATATACCCCATATTCTATCTACTTAAGGGGTACTACATCCTATTTATAGAATCCCAGGCAGGATGTTTACCCCTACACCCTAAGCCCTACTCTAAACTCCAACCCCCTAAACCTTAAACCTCTACTACCAACTGTAGCATCGGATGCTGGACAGGTTCTAGGCGATGTTGGCAGCGAGGTTGTGTTTACCCACGACCCTGACTGGGAGCGGCAGTACGGGGTTCAGGGTTTAGGGTTTAGGGTTCATTGTTTAGGATCTAGGGTTTAGACTGCGCTGCTTTGAGTAGGGGATTTGGGGATCTGGCGTTTGAGGGTATAAGGACTTCGGATTTGAGGGACTTCGGGTTTGCGATTAAGGTTCCTAAAAGGGTCTAGTGCGGGTTATAGGCGTCCGCCATTTGTTGGAACTGCACTTTTCGTATTAGCTATTAGTCTATGGGTAGTTACGTGTGTCCAGAAGTATTGCTGCCATCATTAGTTTCTAGCATTATTTCCTCTGCACACGTTCATAGGGCATTTGATTCGATGAGTGGCTCGTCCAGGATCAGATGCCAGAAGTGGCAGAAGCCATCAAGCAAGCTGGAGGTGAGGACAACTGCTATGCTGCCAGGGACCCGGTACATAGCAGTTTCAGAGTTGCGGAAGTCAACTTTGCACGAGCTATCGATCTTGCACCCCCTTGCCCCCAGAGCTACATCTGCTCCATTTTACTCTTGGTTATTGGTGTCGAATATCCCTATAAACTGCCCTATAATCCCAGTTTCCATGTCATTTTCCATGTTCTTTTCCATTGTTGGGGTAGTATCGTGATTGTTCTGGCTGTGGAGCTGCAAAACAGGATCGTTATCGCTTGCAATGAGTTTATGGCGTTTCGTCTCAATGTTGATGGTGCTATTGCTGCTACTGCTACCAATGCCCGCTACCAAAGAGTGTGAGCAGAACTACCACTACCACTTTCACCGCTCTACGAGTCGTGCTAGCACTGCCACTACCACTAACACTCAAACTGCCATTGCCACAGCCATTGCCAATTCTATTGCCACAACCGCCACCACGGCCGCTACTACAACTACCATTGCTCTACTACTGAGCGGAACACTGCAAAACCATGCCCACCTAGTACTTCCAATACTGCTTGTGGCTAGAGTTGTTGAGGAGCAAGCATGTTTGGGGTAGGGCGTTGAGGGGGTTAAATATACAGCAGCATCCAGCCCCCGTCAGCAGCAAGAACCTGTCCAGTGCTGCCATGCTGCCTTCCACCTTAGCGGCGTTTGAGGTCCCCCCATTCCACCACCGCCGCCGCTGCTGCTGCTGCTGCTACTACGACGGTTACTACGACTTCTACGGCTGCTACTGCTACTGCCGCCGACACCACCACCCTGCCCTGTCACCACAACAACCATTCACTCCGAGTACGACTACCACGGCGAGGCAGCCACCATGAAAGCCGCCCCCGCCCCCACTACCATCAGAACTGGGTGATACAGAGACTTCCTATACTTGCACGCAAATCGGGAGGGCCAGAATATGCCAAACCTTGTAAGGAAGTAGGATCTAGGGCCTGCACAAGATGTCCTGCAGATGTCAAGGATTTTGACTTACTGCCTCTTGGGGCACTTCTCACAGAACGCCATCCCCTTCTTCGTTACAGCCGGCGGGCAGATGACCATATCTCAACACAGGCTCCGACCATAGACCCAATATTCATCAATATCGCACGTTCTGACCCTAAACCCTAGCTATCGCGAACCCCCCAGCTCCGATCCATGAGCCTTCAGAACCTTGGACCCGAGGTTGCCTCTGTGCCCTCAGCGGTTGGAATCTCAGGAAAAGGGGGTGGGGCACCACTGGAACCTCTTGATTTTTTGACTTTGGTGGCAGGTTTGTTTGTACAAAGGATACATGCGGTGTTTGAAGGAGCGTTCCGGGGTTGAGATAGGCTTGAAATCAGATGTGGGTTTTACTTGGATCAAGGGGACTTGGCAAGGTAGGGCTATTGTTTTACAGACATCCCCCAGGCATCATCACCAAGAAAACTCAGGATCCCTTCAGAACCCCCTCTGTATGTGTGTGCACCGCCGCGGGGCTATCAAGGAAACAGATTCGAAGAAGACATAAAGCTGAAGCGCGACGCGTAGTCATTCAAGACCAAGTGTTAGGATGAGGATGCTCGAAGTACTGTAACCTCTGTAGCCAGTTCAGGGTTTAGAGTGTAGGGTTCATGGGAGTCCGCCTCATAACCAAAAAGTCTGGATTCCGAGTCTGGGGTTAAGAGTCCAGGGTCCAGAGTGTCATCATCTGGTAAAAAGGAGCTACGGGGTGAGCTTTCAATAGAAACCCCCACAGTCTGAAACTTCTGCGAGTTTCTCGTGGCAACCATGCTGAAATCAGTGAGGGTCACACATGCAATCCCTACACATCTTTTTGGAATGGCAAAAGCTATCCCCAACATAGACGTACCGGCTGTTACGTCTGCATTTTTTGTAGCCCTTACATCATCCCCTTTGTTATAGTGGTTGACTCTTTACAGAACCTTTAATCTTTAAACTCTCCTGATTTTTTCTAGAAGCCCCAGTTTCCGGGAGCTTCTCCATTAGAATTTCCACTCCCTACTAGCAATTAGTAAGTAAGTCCCATCCCTAACACATAAAAGCTTACGCCACAAAGCCTGATCGGTGATTCCTAACCCCTCAACCACAACCCCCAAGCCATCAACCCTGACATCCTCAATCCTAACCCCTTGACCCTGAAATCCTCAATCCTAATCCCTTGACCCCTGCTCAAGCCGCTAGCCAAGGGCATATGGGCCGTCGGCCTTGCTGGTGGTTGGAAAGTGCGCGAGCCGCCACCCAAGGAATAGCAAGATGTTTCAGGGTTTAGGGTTTAAGGGGGGTCAGTTTAGGGTTTGAGGGTATAGGGTTTGGGGTTTAAGGGTTTAGGGTCTAGGGTTTAAGGGTTTAGGGTTCAAGGGTTTAGGGTTTAGAGCGAAGTTCGCTTGGTTCACTCCTCTCATTGAACTTCTACAGT